TTGGGTTTTTGGGTTTTTTTTTTTGTTTGTTTTGTTTTGTTTTGTTCTGTTTTTTGGTTTTTTGAGACAGCGTCTCACTATGGAGTTGAGACTGACCTGGAAATCACTATGTAGCCCAGGCTGGTCTCCTCACAGCGCTTCTCCTGCCTCAGCCTCCCAAGTGCTAGGATTACAGGTGTGCGCCACCACACCTGGCCTGGTCTTTATCTTGTAAAGGCCAGAACATAGGTAAAATTTTTGAACAAGAGAGTGACAGGATATAAAAAAGTATTTTTGTTTTGAATTTTTGTCCACCCATAGAAGATAGAAATGTTTTCAATGTTTTGTACAATTTAAAACATTTTTTCTGAGTTATGTCTAAACTATAAAGAAAAGTCAATTTTATAACATATTATATCTTTCAACCTCATTTTTTTCTTTAATGTTTAAATATAACATTTTTGAGAGATTCCAAAATTCTATGAAATAGGAATGTTGGCCATGACAGTTCAGACATATGTAGGTTAAAAATATGAAGTAATTGGGCTGGGTATTTAGCTCAGTGGTTCGGTGGCCTGCCTTGCAAGCGCAAAGACCTGAGTTCAATCCCCGGTACCAAAAAAAAAAAAAAGAAGAAGAAAAAGTAATTGAGGATAATGGTAAATTAAGATTGCAGGGCTCACTCTTCAATTATACTAGAAAATTAAAGGTAAATTATATAGCAAAATTCAGAATAAAACCTGTACAAGTATTCAAGTTCTTGCAAGTTTAGAAATTGCCTGGTATGTTTGTAACTACAATGTAGCCAAAGCACAGGGGACTTTAATGTATATTTATGGACTGATTCCCCAAAAGATAACTGCACTATTCTGGAATGCAATTGCTATGTCAGTAGTTGTAGTGTTGCTGTTTTAAATTTTTTCATCTTTCAACCTAATTAACTTAAAATGTCTCTAATGTGATTTACAAAGAATTTCATATTTATTTTTTGCAATCAGTGTTTTTGACCAGTGCACAGGTTTTTAGACATGCACTACAATGTGTAAATATTTTGTAAGATAATAAATAGCTCTTTCTGGCCTAAATGTTTTATGGTTGCCTAGTCCTTGCTAATTGGTTATGGACTGAAATTCCCCATTGTTTAATTTTTTTAATTTGTGGGAAATTTTTATAAATGAGTCTGTAGGGCTTCATATCACAGCTGTTGTCATTTAAAGTTTGGACTGCATCATTACAAATGAAGCCCTGCTGTGAAATCAAAGTCAAAAGGCATCTTGGCATTCCAACCATTTCCTTGGGAGAAGATTACAGCACAAGACTGTTGAACTTTATTGCCTTGGGCCTCATGACAGTTTTCAGAAACATCCAAGGCATTTCTGCTAAAGAAATTCAGATGTGCTAGGACACAGATGACATTCTTGCACATAGCAGTGTCCTAAGGGGGTAAAGGATAAATCAGAGGGAAAAAAAATTCACTCCTTTTGCTGTATCCTGAGATTGTTTTATAAAATCTATGGAGATGGTGAACACCATCAGTGACACCATGTGGGAGGAGGTATGGTGTTTTTCTACATAGCGTGACTGTATTTTAAAATAAAAACTTCGCCATGATAATGACTTCCTTCAAAATCATCTTTTTCTTTCTTTCTTTCCTTTCTCTCCCTCCCTCCCTTCCTTCCTTCCTTTCTTTCTTTTTAAGGTGCTAGATGCTGATCTTAGGGGCTTCCCATAGGCTAGGCAGATGCTACAGTCATTTTTCAGTTGGTTTTGTCCCAGTCTTTGAGAAGAGATCTCACTGATTCATATTTGCTTCTCCCTCTCCCCCTTCTGTCTCTTAACATATGCCTGAGGGGGAAACATCACTCAGGTAGAGTAGTTCTGATAGTCACTCTTTATATCTAAGACTCATGTTTCTTAATTTAAAGTTAAACATTACTTGATCCAACTTAACATATATAAAAGAGACACAAGGCGGACCGGAAAGTGGGTTGCCTTCTCACCTCACTTCTCAGAGATGTTTTATACAGCCAAGCCATATGGTGAGGTGGGTACAAAGTGGGACAAAAGTGTAAGACCCAATGGGAAATTATGAGGTGGGGCAAAACCATGACCAACCAATAAAATTACAAGTATAGTCATTCAGGTAATATTAATTAAATGGGGTCAAATGGGGCAGCAAGTCTCATAGCAAGCATATGAGGATTTTCAGTAAGGGTGTGGGATCAGGAATATTTCCTGGAAAAGCTGGGCTAAAACCTTGCCCCCCCAAACCCAGGTGATTGATAACTATTTAGAGTATAAATTACTTCTATTTATCCCTGGGAGAAGCACAAGGATATAGTAGTGACTCTCCTTTTACAATTCTGGCCTTCAGTGAATGTGTCTTGATTATCCTCCATGTTGGCTCCTCCTGGGCTGACCCTAACTGCCTACAAGATACCTAACTTACCTATCTGCAGTAATAGCAGTATCATTTTTTCCTGCTAACCTTTCGGCTCTGCAGCATTCAAAAAAGTTCATTCAGTAGCTTACCGTAAGTATTGATATCACCTCTTATTTGCTGCAGTAAAAATGCTGTCATTAATGGTGGCATGTATCTGTAGCTTCAGCTACTTAGGAGGCTGAGACAAGAGGATCATTCATCCCAAAAGTTTGAGGCTAGCCAGGCCAGCAGAAGGAAACTGTCTCAAAAGCAAAAATACTGTCAAATTGCTTATAGTTTAGTAAGGAGGCAGACAAGTAAGTACAGTAGGTAATTATAGTGTGATCTTCTAATCACTTCCTAGCCTTAATACTAACATTTATTTAGTGTGATGTGCCAGATACGATTTTAAATACTTTATCTGCATTATTAATCTCTAACAATTTCACTCTCCTAATTCTCCTTCCCCGTGTTAATTTTCCACTAGTCCCTCTACTAGATATGTATCTTAGCTCCTTTTCTCAATGCTCACTCTCTGCATGTATTCCTTTATTTATTCATTTATCCAATAAATATCAATCAGAGTGATAAATTAATCCAAAGTGTTATATTTAGTGCAGTATAGGAAGTTTGGCCTATCATGTAGTTATTTCTTTAAATTGAGTCAGAGAATATAAGCTGTACAAGAGATATTTTTGCAGAGATTTCTCTTATTTTTCTTATTTCATTATTCATTAGGTGTTAGATGGGGCCGGGGATTTAGCTCAGTGGTTTCTCCGCCTGTCTCGCAAGCACAAGGACCTGAGTTCGATCCCTGGTACCAACAACAACAACAAATAATAGGTGTTAGGTGTTCTGTGTTGTCTAAAACAATGTGTGAAATTTAATTGAGAGCTCTTTTAGCAGAACATTGTAAATGTACTCATAAAAATAAATAAGTAAATAAATAAACAAACGTACTCATGCAGATGGCTATCTGCCACCATGGCTTATAAAAATTTTTTTTCTTTCTTTTTAGGGCAGTACTACAGCCTTCCCATCCTCAAGGCTGGCCCTACCAATCCCCAGTAGTATTTTGAAACAATCTATAATGTGTTCTCACTTTACCTCTGACACTTTCTCCTATGTTCTGGAGCTCTTGTCTTAATACCAGGGCGCTTATGCAGCCCTAAGCTTTCTAAACCTCTCTTGTTTTGACTCTTTCTCTCCTCCTTCACTTTCTCATACCCTAAAATTATTGCTGCAATATTCACATCCTCTATCTCAAGAAGAGAATGACAGACAGTGTCCAAAGGGAAAAGCATGACACTGATAAGTAAATAAATGTTGATTCTGGTCATCACTCTGTGGCTAACTTCTAGAAATTACAGAAATTACACTAGACTGATATCTAAGATACCATCTCTGTTAGTTTAAGACTGGTACACTCCAACTTGAATAACTGATGACTGAGGAATTTTTATTTCAATGAAAATAGCTACATTTGTTAAGGTTGAGGCTTTACTCATCATACTTGACCCTCCAGGGAAAGTGTCAGTTGCAGATTTTGCTGCCTTAGGGCACTTTTCCAAGTCCTGGCTTCCTGATGGCTCATTTTGTGTCCCATTACCAGAGGAAAGACTTTTTAATCTAACTACATAGATATTCACCTAGCATAATGTCATTGACTTTCATCCATGTTATAGCATGTGTCAGAATGCCCTTCCTTTTTAAGATTGAATAATATGCCTATGTGTGTATATCCATCTGTATGTACATACTATATACAGTATGTGAGTGTTCAAATATATACCTGTTTGCTTTCGGTTGTTTTCAGTTCTTTTGGATATATAACCAAAAGTTGAAATGCTAGAGTACATGATAATTCCATTTTTCTTTATATATTCTGTTTGCTAATTCCAGAGTGTTTTTTGTTTGTTTATTTCTATTTTGGTTTTTGTTTGTTTTGGTACCAGGGATCAAACTCGGGTCCTTGCACTTGCAAGGCAGGTGGTAGAACCCCTGAGCTACATCCCTGGCCTGTTTATTTCTGTTTGAGGAACCTCCATACTGTTTTCCGTACCAGCTGCACACTACTTTGCACTCCCACTGAAATTTCCAGTTGTGCTATTCCCCACCATTTCACCCAGTAGATTTCACCCAGTAGATTTCAGCATTGGTGATATTTCTTTCCTCATCAATAACAAAATATCCTTTTATGTAATGACAAAATACATCCAGTCAATTATGAAATGGATCTCAATCTCAGGGATGTTAAAATGTGAAGAAAGAAAAAACTTTGACTCATTGGAACACAGTACATAAATCTAAAACTCCCTTAAATTTTTTAAACTAAATTACACAGAAAGGTTGCTATTCTACATTAATGCATAAAAATGATATTTTTCTCAAATGTATTTTTACCTCATTTCCAAAAGAATGTGCTTCAGGGATAGTTTCCCCCTCCCCCAGATTTACCTAACTCTGCGTTAGTAGCAATTTGGAATAAAAGTAAAAACCTTGTAGTACAATAAACAATTATACCAGATTTTCATTTCCATATGTTTGTGATTTTTGTTAAATATCTTAATAATGTTCATTTGTCTTTGTTTCATTTAAGGATTGTTCGAGTTTAGAAGAATATAATATTGCTGCAGCTTTACTCCCTTTGACTAGTGCTTTCTATAGGGTAAGTTTTATTGGTCTTTATAAAAGCTGGTTATGATTTATACATATGTATTCTGGGCTGGAAATTTAGCTCAGTGGTTCTGCCGCCTGCCTTGCAAGCGTAAAGTCCCAAGTTCAATCCCTGGTACCAAAAAAGAAAAAATAAATAAAATTTATATGTATGTATGTGTGTGTGTGTGTGTGTGTGTGTGTGTGTGTATATATATATATATATATATATAT